GCTCTTCCGATTTCACTGAAGATGGCTCAATGCGGAGCCGAAACGTTTGGGTGATAATTATTATTGTTAAATAATTGTAATTTTAGCACTAACTTCGTGCAAGGCTCACTAGCCCTTCATTTGATACTTCGTTATTTAGATATGTTATGCGTTAAAATGTAAAAAATTAGAAAAAAATATGAAGAACTCTGTTTTTTTAAGAAACATGAATAATATCTTATAATTTCGCATAAATTTTTTTATATCGGCACTTTTATGACACAATTTTCATCAAGATTATGCTAATAAATATTATTAAGTATAATTTTTTTTCAACATTACCATGAATACCTGGGGATCTACAGGATGGAAATTCCGGATTTCTTCGTTATCTACTACTTCATTGTCACTTTTAATTTGTTCTTCATTATCACTTCAATCGTTGTTTATATTGTCGTCATTGTTGTCATTTTTACCAGTTGCATTTTCTTGTACATCCTATAGCAAATGCACGTTTATATTTTAGAACTTTATTTTAGAGAGAGAGGAGAGAGAAAGAGTTCTCTAGTTAATATATATATTGAAAGTTACACATATATTCAAAACTCTATAATAATTTACCTGTGGAATTATTACATAATCCATTATTTCTTGATCATCCTCATTGTTGGTAATATCATTGTCACTGTCATTGTCTGCTCTAGCATTGCGAATTTCATGATCTTCTATATTTTCTTCTATATTCTGTACACAGATGTTTGTAATTAAAAAAAATTATTTATGAAATAATAAAGAAAATCTGACAACGGACATATTCTTTACTTTATGAATTTGGCTCCTTCTGCGTTGTGTTCTCTTTGGAATTGGAATGCTGCTGTCCTCAACGTACAATTTATATCGTCCTCGACCTATTGTACACTGTAGAGAAGATGCAGTCAGTAACAAATCTTTCGTCTTTCTCGCTATACGGATTAACTAAAATATTAGTACTTAAATTCTCCTGTTATTACGTCTAGGTCTCGCATAATGGTTTAAATATACAAAGTGAAGAAAACTAATCAAGAGACACGGTCGTGGCTCGGCGCTAAAGAGGACGCCGAGACCGACCGTGTCTCTTTACGCGAGCTGGCGAGTTACTAGTACCCAAGATTATTGGATTGCAATAATGGCTAAACCGATCAAGTTT